AGGTATCTCTCGGTGGGGGGGGGGTTGGGTTCTGCGGCTGTCGGCTGTCGTAGTAAAGGCAGGACCTGCTTTACTTGTTTTTTGTTTGTTCAACAGAAAACGCCCTGATGTTGTAACGACCACAGGCTGGCTTGCTCCGGTCATATGGGAAGGCACTTTCAATAGACAGGTCCTGGAAGAATACTACGGAAGACAGAACCTCACCATAGGCTTGGCTGTCCTTGCGACTGGCAGGTAAATGCGAACGAGCGCACGGAGACCTTCTATCTCCAGCAGGCTGCCTGTAGGTACCCATAACCATTGTATCCGGCTGTCCCGTACAAAAACCGTGACGTGGTTTTCTCCTTGCTTAGCTGGCTCATTCATGCCACTTGGCTCACATTTCTTTTCTTTCCAACGGTTGTTTCAAAACTTTAAAGGCTTTTCTCAGACCCCCCAGGTCACTATATCCTTTCTCACTAACCAGAGCAGTCAGACCTGTAGACCCGACCTGCCTGCATTACCCACTGGGGGTCCCGTAGCATCAGTGACTCGTCAGTTAGACAACATGTTTGGTGACATGTCCCCTTCTCTTGAAAGTGTTCAGGAAGCATCTCCCTCTGTGTGTGTGTGTGTTTTGCAGGATTGCAGATCAGTACCTGGAGCTGTTCATACAATCGGCCAGTAAGCACTTCATGACCGGCTACAGAGTTATCTTTTATATCATGGTGGATGCCTTCCACAGGCTGCCTAACCTGGAGCCAGGTCCTCTGCAGACGATCCAAGTACTCGACATCAGAGGACACGATGCGAATGACCTTCACCTCATGCTCATGAAGAACTTAGCTGTGCACATAGTAGGGCACATTCAGGACGAAGTTGACTTTCTCTTCAGCATGACTGCCAATAGGGTCTTCCAGAATGACTTTGGGGTGGAGACCCTGGGCACGTCCGTGGCTCAGCTCCATGCCTGGTGGTACTTTAAAAACACGGAGAACCTCCCTTACGAGAGGAGGCCCGGATCCACGGCGTGCATCCCTTTGGGACAAGGGGACTTCTACTATGATGGGACGGTCATTGGTGGCACACCCCTGGAGATTTTAAATTTCGTCAAAGAATATCTGGACGGGATTATTCGCGACAAGGAAAATGGGCTGAACAGCACCTACGAAAGCCACCTGAACAAGTACTTTTTCATCCACAAGCCCACCAAGCTGCTGTCTCCAGAGTACAGCTGGGACACGGTGCTGTGGCCCCCGGCCCAGGTCTGGTTGGTCAAGGCAGCGCGATGATCCGAGAGGGCCTTCTGACTCACCAGCTTCTCCTGTGGACGGGCCGACCACGTAGACACGGATTCCTGAGCACAGAGGGCGTCCTAAAGCTCTCCTGGTTTCCAGGGTATAAATATTGATGCCATGCATCCGCAGGAAATGTTTCTCCTTGCAGTTGTGAACCGTCCAGTTTGGTCCATGCAGGATAAAGAATAAAAATGATTAATGTTTAATCACAGTCACGTTGGGATCTATATATCGTAGAGAGCTGGCTCGTCATTTAGGAGGCATAAAATGATTTTTTTTTTAATGGAGAAAGATTGTAGTCCAGAAAAAAAGAACACACACAAAAGGGCACAGTATTAAAATAAAGGGAAAAAAAATAAATGTTCATCAGCTCACTCGCAGAAGATGTGATGTGCCTCAGTCCTGGGGCTCATGAGAAAGAAGGTACGCATTGAGTTCTGTGGCGAAGGCCCTCTGCCGGGTGCAGCGAGGGGTAGGAGGCACTTATTAAAATCAGACCCGTGGTCCCGCATGGAACAGGCGACTGCTCACGCATTGCTTTTGCAGGTCAGGAGTGCAAAGAGCAAGGGGGGCGTGGGTGGCGGGGGCAGCGCGGTGGCTCCATTCTTGGGCATCACAGAGTAGTTCTCAGAAACAAAATCTGTGAACGTTTCAAAACCGAGAAAACAGATAGTCAATGAGCCATGAGCCCTAAAGCACAAGCTTGGTGTGAGCTATCTCAGGTCAGGCCTAGAGAGAGAGGAGGGCTTCACTCAGACAAACAAAAGCGGATTTCCCCCTGATGTGACTGGTGGGCAAGCCTGGGGGACTTCCTGGAAGGGGCGCTAACGTTCTCCCTTTAACAAAATCATGGGATCAGACTGAAAGCACCGTGGGTTCCTTGGCTTCTTTGGGACGAGGACGGGTGAATGTGTTAATGTCTAGAATTTCCAGGTCCAAGAACAAGTCTGCCCAGAGGACACGAAAGCCGGGTCCCCCCAGAACGGCCCTCCATTTCCATCCCTCCGAGCAACAGCGTGCTTCCCCACACAGTGGGCGCTAACTGGGCTGTAAAAAGAAATTTAATTTTGCCAACCTGATAAGTAAAAATAGCATCTCTTTTTCTGGGATTCCTTGTGAAGTCGAACCTCCTCTTACGCTATAATGATCAGCTATCTGATACGTGATCGTACAAATGATCGGTTTCTGTGCCCTGCTCACTTTTCTCACCCTGGGGTCCTTTTCATGAGCTTTAATGGGCAGCTTTCAGAGAGGTGATGTGAGCCCTCTATCAAGCTTCTTGACAATACTAATTTCAGGCTTGGATTTTAATTTTGGTGAAGATATTTTTGATGCATCGAAAACATAACTACCATCTTTTCCTTTGATATTTATATCCCTTGATATTTAAGGTAGGGTCCCATCCCTGAGTTATCGATTGTGCAGAACTTTCAAGGTTTTATGTCTCTTCAGAATCAATCAGGAATTAATTTTAAGATAATGCAAAGAGTGAGATATCTAAACTAATTTTTTTCTCCAAATCTCTTGCCATTTCCCCTAATACTATTTATTGAATTAATAATGCTTTTTAAGATGGGCCGTTTGTATACTGCATTGTTATTATACTTGCTAGTGTTCATTTCTTGACTCTATTCACTGATTGTTCTTTCTGTCCCTGAGCTAATTCTACACACTTGTAATCGCTGTCGGTTCCTACTCGTTACAACAGAACAGTGTTTGTGTGACTTCTCTCTGAAACATTTCAAAACTCTTGTTCTTTCATGTGGATTCTAGATTCAGGTTTGCGGTTAGCAGTAAAGATCCCACTGGAATATTATTTTTTAAAGATTTTATTTGTTTGATAGAGTGTGAGGGCACCAGCAGGGGAGGGGGCAGAGGAGAGGGAGAAGCAGACCCCCACTGAGCAGGGAGCCCTACGCGGGGCTCGATCCCAGGATCCTGAGATCATGACCCGAGCCGAAGGCAGACGCTTAACCGACTGAACCACTCAGGCGCCACCCCCACCACCACTGGAATATTGATTGAAATCCTTGGATGGACAAGTTAACTTGAGGATTATTAAATATTTATGATATTGAAGACTATGCAGGAATACCCCATATCTATTTATTTAAGTCATTTTTTCACTGTCCCAGAGTAAGGATTTAAAAATTTTTTTTCTCATATAAATTCTGCAGGTGTCTTACTAAATGTCTGAGCATTACTTTCTCATTGTACCACGTCCATTCTATTTCTCAAATTTGGGTTTTCTTTTTTTTTTAATTATGTTCAATTAGCCACTGTATAGAGCATCGTTAGTTTTTGATGTAGCATTCCATGATTCATTAGTTCCATATAACACGCGGTTTCTGGTTCACAGGAAAGCATCTGGTCATACCTGTCTCTGGCAATTCCAGACGGCCCGTATGGAGACCCCTGATCCAGTTTCCGGAGAGCCTGCCCTTCAGTGGGTGGTCCCTGGCTCACCCGGGGAAGAGGGGAGAGTCTTCGGTCCAGGCACTGCCCTGGTAGCACCCTTGACTTTCAGGAGAGGGCACTGGCCTGTCTCAGCTCCCCTGCTGCGCAGGTGCACGGGCCTGTGTTTCCCCGGCCCTTCTGGGGGAGAGCATGGGCAGGTACCGTGCGCACTCAGTGCTCTCTGACCTGGGCAGGACGTGCGGCTTGGCTCACGGGGCCCAGCGCACCTCTCTGAAGTTGTCCCAGAGCAGGACCCAGGTGGAAGCAGGTCAGAGGAGCGCCAGCCCAGCCCCTAGCGGGGTTGTGCCCCCGAAGGACTCCCCGGGTGGCCCTCTGCCACACTGCAGGGCTGTGTTCACTGTGGCCCAGGGCTCTGGGGGTTGCCTGTCCCTTCCCGGCCACTCAGAGCATTCCCACGCCCCTGGGCCTGGCTGGGAGAGGCCAGGAGGGGGACGAGCAGGGGGCTGGGCTCAGGGTGGAGGGGCTGCCTCGGGTGGCTGAGGGATTTGGGAGGCACCTGGGCAAGCAAGGCAGGGGGAGGAGAAGGAGGCGAAGGCAGGCGTCAGGGGACCGGGCAGGAAGTCTCCGGGGGCCCTGACTTAGGCTTCGGCTGGGGGGCACCGGGCTGTGGAGGGGAGAGAACAAGACGGGGATTCCAAGGCTTTGTCCATTCCCTTTGAAACCAACCAAACCCAGCGTGCAGCCGGCGTCCCTCACTGGGGAGCAGCGTGCCTTCTGCTGTCCAGCACCCACGGGCGGCCACGTCCTGCCATGGCCCCCCTGCCCTCGCTTTGACCCAGACTCCACCACCCTGCCCCTCGGTTCGCCCCCCTCGCCGCCAGGGGTTGGTGACCACACAGCATGGCTGTGCTCCCTTGTTCCGGGCTCCCTTTTCCCTGATAAATCAGGGACGGGCCTGCAGTGACCCCGTGTGACCCATGCAAGGACTGGAGGCTGTGTCTGTCTTGTTCTCCATGCTTCCCACCCCAAACAGCCCGGCCTGGGTGTGTTGATGGACTGAATGGTGCACAGGGAAGGGGTGTGGGGGCGAGGGGCTCCACTGTGTGGCCTTGGCCTTGTTTCCAAGCCGCCCTGACCCTAGTGTCTGAATCCACAGAAGGGAGACGGATATTGTGCCCAGGTCACTGTGTTCTAGGGGATTCGTGCCGCCTGGCAGGCGAGGCTCCCAGCAGGGGCCCGACCATATGGGGGGCCCTGGAGGGGCTGCCCGTGTTTTTAATTGCTCTGGTCTTCTGCCTATTATTGCTAGGGGTTCCAAGCCTGGCAGGCGAGGCCCCAGCGCAGCAGCCTGGGCATGGGGGAAGTATCTGGAGGGCCGTGCCTACCATCCAGGTTGAAGACAGGGGCTTTCTGCAGCTGGAATCTGGCAACGTACCCAAGGTATTTCCCCAGCCACGTGGGGTCCCCGAGCATTCTTCTGGCTGAAATCAGAGGGGCCGAGAGTCCAGAGGCCCTGTCTTTTCTCCGAGTGCCCCCTCCTCCTGCCAGCCCGAGCCCTGCCGCTGACTGGCTGGTAGCTGCCGCCTCAGCCCTGGTCCCGCTCCCTCCTCATCTCCCCTGAGAGCAGGCCCACCCTTGGCTGAGTGGGCACTCCCTCCTCAAAGGGGCGCGTCAGGCCCCGGACCCTCTGGGGAGGACCCCCTTCACACAGCAGCCTGCGGCCTGCATGACTGGGCCAGCCCGGGACACCCCCCACCGCCTCCATGTAGTCCTCAGGACAAGGTGTCCCCACCCCCCGCCTGGCCCAGCCCACCCTCCACACCCTCCCCCGTGACACCCCCCCCACCATCCCGGGGCTTCTGCACGTGGCACTTCCACTCTCTGAGGTCTGATGTGACTCAGTTGTTTTAGGTTCATTGACTAGCTCCCCGGCGAAGGCGGGGGAAGGTTTCTGTTCTAGCGGAGTGTCCCTGCTCCCGGGACACAAACACACACACACACACACACACACACACGAGGCTGTGCTGTAGGCGGGCCAGCTGAATGAACTCCCGAGGGAGTGAGCGGGCAGGGGCAGGGATGCCCGACCTGAGGGGTCCCCGGGAGCAAGCGCCCACGGGGGTGCAGCTCTGAGCAGTCCCGCTGGCCCCAGCGCCCCCAGAGCAGCAGGCCCTGAGCACAGGTCTGGGGCAGCACCCCGGCCAGCGTCGGGGAGAGCCGCCTCCTACCCAGCAGAGCCCACAGGCTGGTGGTCTCGCCGGCGTCCTCGAAGCGGACGTAAAGGATGAGGTTGCTGTAGTCGGTGCTGACGAAGCGGACGAGCATGCCCGCGCCTCTCTCCACTGTGGGAGGCCCCGGCCCAGTAACAGGGGACGCCTCTCTCCTCCACCCACCCCCACAGCCCCCGGACAGCGCAGGACACCGGGAGGATGTCTCCCTCCAGCACTGGCACTTCCCCCACGGCCCCGGTTCGGGGCATCGAGCGTCCCCTGGCCCCCAGTCCAGCGCAGCACCCGGGCCAGAGGGCTGGGCTACTCACGGGAGCCTTGGAACTGGCCCTGGAGCCGGTTGGGTGGATGGTGATGTTCACTCCTTTGCATACCCCCTGTCCTCTGGGAAAAGAGGAGGGGGCATACGGTGGTCACGGCCTCTCCCTGTCTCCCGGCCCCCGGGGACATCGGACGTGCCCTGGATGAGGTCCCTGGTGGCTGCCTGAGTCTCTCGGCTCCCTGGGCTCCCGAGAGTCGTCTAGCTGGGGGCAGGGCTAGAGGGCAGGAGTGAGGAACCAGGGACTTGTTGCTGGAGTGTGGCCAAACCTCCCGGGAGGAGTGGGACCCAGTCTGTCCTTGGCTTGGAGCTCCAGGTCTCTGGGTGGGGGACCCTGTCCTGGTTGTCCCCAGTCACCTGGGCTCCACACATAGGCCACGCCTTTTTGGCCCCCTGTCCCCGGGTCTTCAGTTTCTCTGCTGGGGTGGGTGGGGGTTGGGCTGGGTGCCAACGGACCCTGGGCAGCACAGCCCTTGGGGTGGTGTCTGTGGCTGAGCCCTGGCAAGGCTGTGGCTCTAACTTAGGGTCCTCAAGGCCACGGGTGCTGGACTGTTCTAAGCATCACTGAGATCAGCACAGCGTGTCGCCACTGTGGATGTTCCTGACCGACCGACCAGTACGAGGCGCAGCCCTGCCTGGGCGTCCCCAGCCCCCACGGCGGGAGGGACCCGGCTGTGCGTGTGTCTTTCCCCAGGCCCTTCGTCGTAAAGCTTTGGGACTTCTGAAGCTAAACCTCAGACCTCTCGGGAGGGTCTCAAGCCTGCAGCTTAGTGCCATGTGTCCCTCTGGTTCCCCCCACTGGTCACTGTCCCTCGGGAGGCCCCTGAGCGGGACCTCCCTGCGAGGAGCTGCAGTGGCCGTGCTTACGTCCAGAACAAGACGAACTCCACATCCTCGTCCCGAGTCCAAATGGAATGGAGGCCAAGCCTCAGGGGATCGGCTGGGGAGACCAGGTGGGTGCGGCTGGCAGCCAGCCGGGTGGTGAACCAGCGTCCCTCCACCTGCAGAGTGCGAGGTGCAGAGGGGGTGATGGTCCCCGGCCTCCAGTCTTGGCTCTCAAGCCCCAGCCCCGCCAGCGCTGAGCGCTTCTGGGGAGGTCAAGGGCCAGTGGGGTGTACTGGAGGGGACAGGTGGCCCGTTCCTTGTAAATGTCCTTCTCTGTCAGGCTGCCCTCTGTCTCCCCAGTGCCCTTCTTGCCGCCTCTCCCTTCCCCACTTCCTTCAGCTCCTCCCATATCTGGCCCAAGCGCTGTGGCCTGTTGGGTTCCAGATGCCCTGGCCGGGGTCTGGGGAGGGGTGAGGGCCGCCCTGGAACCATCACTGAGTCCTGGGGTTGCTCCAGCCATGCTCCCCACAGTGATGGGTGATGGGCAGGTGGGTCAGATAGGGCAGGGGGACTCTGGACCCCTCCCTGACCCCAGGGCTGGGCAGGGGTACGAAGACCCCCCGGTTCCTCCGTGAGGCTGTGCCTGGGCCCAGGACGCCCCTCGCCCCTTAGCTGGCCTCTCTCCCCAGGTCCTGCTCCCAGAAGCGCCCCTGTAGCACCTGGCACCCACCTCCCCGTCGCAGGGCTGAGCCTGGGACCTACCCGGCTCCGTTACCTTGTGGGCATTAAACCCTGGTTGTACCGGCACCTCGTCTAGAGTCTTCTGGGCACGGGCCAAGCCCAGGCTGAGGGTCAGCAGCAGGAGGGGCCCTCTCTGCAGGACCATGACGGCAGGGCCCAGAGGGAGGGGAGGCCGGGCCGCTGGGTCCCTTCTTCGTAGGTGTCCTCCAGAGGCCACTCATCTGAAGAGCTGTCCCGGCCAACCCCGCTGTCCCTGCCAGGCTCCCTGAGCATTCAGAATTATTCCCACAAGGAGGGACGTGGCCTCCCCAACACCTGCCTTGTCTCTGAGGGATGGGAAGGGTGTCATTTGACCTGGGGGGCGGGTGCTGTCGGGGCAGTCTGGCCACATTGCTGGCTGTCCTGGAGGTGCAACCTCACCCCTGGGGGCTCAGCTCCCTCCTCCCGGCTGGTGCTCCTCCCAGGGGCATCCATCCTCTGACTGAGCCAGGACTGTTCTCCCCCCTCCTCCCCTTCCACCATCTTGGGAGGTGTGCTGGGGAGGGAAGGCAGGAGGGCGCACAAACTCTCAAGAGGGCACTCAAACCCTGGCACGAAACCGGGGCCCTGTATGGCTGGTTCCTATTTCCCTCAAGCATCTCTCACACTGTCTCCAACTATGGCCACTCAGACCAGACTCCAGCACCCCCGCTGCCTACCACCGTCCTGGGGCCCTCTGAGCTGTGCGACCCTGCTGGCCGGGGTGCAGACGAGAGCCTGGAGCAGATGCAGAGTGGGTTTATAGCATGGAGAAGGCACAGGGAGGGCAGGACAGCCATGGGGAGGGGACAGGGAGGGCAGGACAGCCATGGGGAGGGGACAGGGAGGGCAGGACAGCCATGGGGAGGGGACAGGGAGGGCAGGACAGCCACGGGGAGAGGGGACAGGGAAGTCAGGACACCCACGGGGAGAGGGGACAGAGAGGGCAGGACAGCCATGGGGAGGGCACAGGGAGGGCAGGACAGCCACGGGGAGGGGACAGGGAAGTCAGGACAGCCACGGGGAGAGGGGACAGAGAGGGCAGAACAGCCACAGGGAGGGGGGACAAAGGCAGAACAGCCACGGGGAGGGGGGACAGGGAGGTCAGGACAGCCACGGGGAGAGGGGACAGAGAGGGCAGAACAGCCACAGGGAGGGGGGACAAAGGCAGAACAGCCACGGAGAGGGGGGACAGGGAGGGCAGGACAGCCATGGGGAGGGGGGCAGGGAGGTCAGGACAGCCATGGGGAGGGGTGCAGGGAGGGCAGGACAGTCATGGAGGGGGACAGAGAGGTCAGGACAGCCATGGGGAAGGAACAGGGAAGGCAGGACAGCCATGGAAAGGTCAGGACACTCCAGAGTTGGGCACGAGGGGGACAAGACAGTGTCCCTGGGGTCGTACCTCTGAGGATGCTAGGAGCCAGCCCAGTGGGGAACCTCCCCTCCGTGTGCTAGGGGACACTTGGCTCCCATGTCAGGGGTCCTCGGGCGTTTTCCTCAGTCTGTCCCCTCCTCCTGGGGTCCTGCCCCTTCCCTGTGTCCTCCCGCTGGTCCCCCCGGCTGTCCACGCCAGTGGCCTGGTGAGGCGGCTCTGGACTGCTCCTCAGCCTCCCTCCCCGTGCGATCCCCGTCAGTCTGGTCTACAATGTGGAATTCTTTGATTCACTCTCCCCTTTTCCGTGAGCCGTGCCCACTGGAGCCAGACCCTATCGGGAGTGAACTGGTCCGTCTGGGTTCGCCCAGGTGCAGCTGCGGGATCCTATCCCGTCCGCCCTCCGGGAAGCAGCAGCTGCCCAGATGGGCGCCCCACATCCCCTGGGGCTGTGAGGGGACGCCCCAGGAGCGGCAGGAAAGCTGGGGGGCCGGTCAGCCCTGGGGTCTCTGAGGACATGGCCGGGCTGAGCATGTGGCCCCTGCCCCCACCTGCGGGGGAGGGGACGTGATGCTCAGGCTGCGGTTTCCGGGGCTTTGATGTCAGATAGGACGTATGGGTAGGAGCCTCCTGCTTCCACCCTTGGATCTGGGTCCCGGTCCCCACCCCAAGCGGCGCTGAGTTGCTTTGGGGGTTTGCACGGTGGAGAGGACCCCCCAGTCACATGGGAAAGCTGCGGACTCCTGTTCCTTCACGACGCCCCCCGAAGCATGTGAGTATGTGCTGTTGGGGGTGGCCGGGGGCGGTGGTGTGAGGCCAGCAGTGAGTCCGGCCCCAGGCTGAGCCGGACCTGGGGGCCTGGAGACCAGAGCCAGGCTGACGGAACCAGGAAGGGGCTGTAGACAGACTTCACCCCTGAGCCCAGACACCAAAGCCGGGGAGCAGCAGGGGGTTCTGCAGCGCAGCGCCTGTGTCCATCGGAGGGAGGAACGGGAGAGTGGTCTAAAGCCCTGACGTGAAGATGCTGGTGCAGAGGCAGACCTCGGCCTGTCCCTGCTCGGGCCTCCGCCACCTGCCAGGCACCCACGGGCATGGGGAGATGGTGACGGTGAGGTCCACAGAGCCTTCCAGAACGTGTAGGCCGCCACATGAGTGACAGCCTCACATGGTGCCCACCTCGTGGAAGGGGTGACCGCTAAGCTGTGTGCTGGGATGGGGCTGGGTGCAGGGAGGAGGGAACAGTACTCTGGAGGGTGGAACAGTGTGTGCGAGAGCCCTGAGGCAAGCGGGGGATGGCGGGCTGAGGGAGCACAGGTCTGAGGGGTGTGGAAATGCGGGGGGCATGGGGAAGGTGAGGGCGCCCCGCGAGGTCACCCAGGCCAGGTCACAGGAGCTCCTGGGTCTCGTGCAGGATGTGGATTTCATCTTTGTGATGGCAGCTGGTGGAAGGGTGTGATTGGGGTGACATTTTGGCAAGACCCCTGGGCTGTGAGGCTGTTGGGGTCACTCACCCTCACCAAGGCCAGGCTGGCGGGGAGAGGGAGATGAGGCCACATGGGAGGCCAGCCTCCGAGCAGCGGGGCAGCCGGTCAGCCTGGAGGGCCGGGGTCGGAGAGACCTGGGGCTAGCAGAGCCTGGAGGCGGGGTTGTGGAAACTGCTCTGGTGGTGGGTGTCCGGAACACTCCACGAATCAGCTGTGTCCTAGAGAGCAGCTCCCAGGCCTCAGATCCTTTCCAGAAAAAGTCAAAAAACGTACACAAGCTGGAAATGAAAAGACCTCTCTGCTGGAACAGCGGGACCGGTGTGTGGGGTGGGGGGGTGCGAGTGTGTGTGTTTGGGGCTAGACCAGAGACTGGGGGGGAAAGGGTTTTCATCCTGTCGCTCCCAAATCTTTCCATCCCTCCCTCCTTCTATCTCCCCCTACCCCCTCCACCCCGGTCATACAAGTCATTGACATCGGAGGTCAAGGCCAGAGTGTCCGCTGTGAGCGCTGGGCCTCAGACTCTGCCCTCATGGAGCCCTTTCCTGTGACCCCCACCTTCCCTGCCCTGGGAGCCCGGGGACTGTCAGCCGCCCCCACGGACAGGCTTGCTGCTCTTACCATCCGAATGCCCACCTGCGTCTGGGGCTGAGGTGCTGTCCGGCCCTGCCTTTCCAGGGTCCACCATCACCCACAGACACAGGGAGACCAGAGCCGGGCCTGAGAGGTCACTAGCGCCTTCACCAAGGGGGTGTTCCTGTTGGCATCCAGGGTGGGACCTCAGATGACAGCCCACGGCTCCTCTGGGCCTTCCTCTGCCCTGGGAGGGGTCTAGTGTCTGCGTCTTGGGGTGGGTCTGGGGGAGAGGACGGGTGTGTTGGGCAGGAGGACAGGCACGTGGGCATGGGGTCCACCTGACAGCGCGCGCACGCTGGTCACTGTGCATGCCTGGCCTTGGAGGACCCAGGACAGTCACGGCTATGTCAGAGGCAAACTCAGAAAGCTCTGGATGACATGTCCTCGCAGACTCGAGATCAAGCCCACACCATGGATGTCACTGAAGGACTCTAATGAGATCCACTTGTGGAAGTCCAAAATGGCTCTTTAAGAGAGGGTTCTGAGTCTGGCCTACAGTTTCCTGAGTTAAAAGGCAGACCGGCAAAAGCAGGACCATTGAGCCTCTCAGGTGGAATTTCCCCGCCAGCATTTCTCTACTGTTTGGGCCATTTACTTCCCAGGGTGTGTTCATGCAGTAAGAGGACTCGGGTGCCACCAAGCGGCCGTCCTAGGGACGTCAACGCCCTGCGCTGTGTGGGACCCACCAGTAACTTCTCCTTAGGTAGCAACACTCTGCATTTGAGTTACATCTTTAGGATTCAAAGTGAGAAAACCCACAAGAACTGCTTGTTCGCTTATGGCCACTGAGGCCTGGGAAGAGGCAGCCCCTAGCTCAGGCTGTTCAGAAGCTGTAGAGATTAAGGCACGAAGCCGACTTCTAATTTTTTAGAGATAGGCACGAGCCACGGAAAGTACCACAACAGGCCTGTCTCCGGGAGTGTGGGTCGTGGGGACTGGTGTCCTGGAGTGGGGTAGGGTTCTGCCATCAGGGCTCCCCACCCAACCGCAGGCCAGGCAGTTCAGCTGCGGGATTTCTACAGAGCAGTTTTAATAACTAGGTGGGAAGTGGACAGAAGCACAATCTCTAGGGTGCAGTGCCAGCTCCCGAGGAGGGCTGAACTGTGATTTGGAGAAATGAGGCTCCTTCCTATGAGGGACCCATGGAGAGCAAGGCAAGGAGAGCCACTGTTTGCTGGGAGCCTTTTCTGGGCTTGTACACAAATTAGGAAGGATTTAGCATGGTTTTAGGGACACCCCACTCCAGGTAACTGGATGTCAGTTGGGTGTATTTGTGTGGGTCTATTTCTGGGTTCTTTACTCTGTTCCACTGATCCGTGTGTCTGTGTCCCTACAAATACCACAGTCTTGATTCTTTTGGCTAAATAATAAGATTTAAAATTTGGTAGACCAGTTCCTCCCATTTTATTATTTTTTTTCAAAATTATGTTAGCTATTCTAGTACCTTTGTCTTTCCATATAAATCTTAGAATAATCTTATCTATGTCTACAAAAAACCCTGCTGGGATTTTGGTAGGAATTGCCTTAAAGCTGTATACCAACTTGAGGAGAATTAACATCTTTTACTCTGCTGAGTCTCAGTTGATGAACACAGTAAGTCTATTTACTTAGATGTTCCTTGATTTCTTTTATCAGTGT